ATTAAAAAGCAATGCAAAGACAGCTCAAAAAAGGAGGAAGGAACGAAAAATGATGAAAATTGTTGTTTGCTTATGTTCGCGATAATTTGTTCACCCACATATGACAATGATGAATACTTTATGACTTCCTCATTTTCATTGTCATAATTTTCTATCAAATTCTCACTCGTATACAGTCATACACAGCAACATCGCATGCAACTGCTTTTCATAATTTTTCCATTTACATTTTCAGCAACTTTTTCATTTTGCTGATTGCTGATAAAGCACACAAAGTTATAATTTCAAGTGTCGCTGATAATATTTGCAACTCCATACAATAAATTGAATGACTTTTTAAAGCTGAACATTTTAAATTTCCGTTTTGTACAAATTAATTTTCACTTCCCCCCCAAAAAAAAAACGACGACGATGTTGATGACGATGTGAGGAAGAATTAAGTAATTGAAAGTCATTTGGCAGTTGCGGTACATCAATTTTTAAATTTATTCTTCAACTACACAATGTTCGTGTGTATCTTTATGTGAATGTGCATGCATATTATGTGCCATTAAACTCGACTTTTACGTTTCTTGCGGAAAGCATTAATATGCTATAAAATACAGAGAAACAGATTTGAGATTCTTGCTTGGAGACACCTTTGCCTTATGATCTGAGCGATGTAGGATTAAGATGATGATTATTTGGGGTTGTTGAATTGAGAATTGATGATTTTGATGGAATTAGAGATCATTAATGGACCCAACTCTTCCCCAAAGCCCTCAAAGGTGTAGCCAGGAATTGGACTAAAATGGTGCAAATTCCTCATTGAAAAATCAAAGTTTAAAGCCCTTTAAAATTGTTTCCAAAGGGAAGTTAAGCTTAAAGTTTAATAAGAACTAATTGGCAATTAGGAACAAGTTGCAACCATGTGGTTCTTAGGATACAATCTGAACCGTGCATTAGACGCATTGCCAGGAGGGTCTTGTCCCCCATTAAACGTTTTGAACCGCAGCAAGAGCACGATCTAAAACGGGGACAAGACCCTCCTGACTAAGCGCCTGCCGTGCATACAACATTTCAATCAATATCAATTACTTCCAATCAGAGATTTTGACCCATTCACAAATGACTTTTTTACGTAATACCGACAGCCATCTTCAATCATTCACAGCTCGGGTTTATTTTACTGATACACATTCTTTCCCTGGAAATGCGACATTTATCAGATTTATTATATTTTTATTTCTAATATGACTCTTCTGCCATAGATGTATGTCGCTCATAAATGAAAGGAAGTAGGAAATAGGTAGAGACGATGAATAAGATTGAAGAAAATAAATCCCGGATAAGAATTTCAATTTTTCAGAATTATTGCTGTCGATGTCATATGCTAGACACGTATGACTGAGCTGGAATTAAGTAAAAAGAAATCAACAAATTCTCGATGTACAATCTGATCCATTGGAAAGGAGAGTGATTGATATGTTGTCTGGACAACAGACTTGTTATATATGTTGTGTGAGAGATTTGGATGTAAGTATTCTTGTGGTTAGGATTGATATGTGATTCATTTGAGGGTTTTTATGAAATTGAAGATTTGAGCGGATTTGATTACATTTTTAAGCTTTAATTCCTCAAAAAGTCATCGATTCAACTTAGTTTACAACTTTAAACATCAACTTCTCAGTACAACTTAAGATATTACTTTTTCTAACCCAAACAAATCAAAAATTACTATCATGTCCTCAACAATTCCCAAAGAATCTCAACTTTAACAACAGTTCGTCGTCGAAGAAAAAGTTTCTTAACATTTAATAATTCCAACATATTTTTCTCATTCCAAAACATTTCTTCTTTTCTATACTAGTTTTTATGTGCAACTCTTTATTCAATATCATATTTTATTTTCATTCGCAATGCTTAAGGTTCGGTATAAAAAAATAACTTTTTTTTCCTACTGCTGCTTCTGCTGCTATGTCGTTTATTTGATCTATTCTATATAATTTTTTATTTTATTTTATCACAATTTATCTTTTTTGCTTTTTAGTTGCTTTTTTTTTGTGTGAACTAGGCATGGGATGGAACATTGATGGGATTTTGTGTTTAGAGTTATGACTAATGATATTGAATCTGAGTTGAGGAACTTTGTGTTTATAACAAGATTGCTATACATATAACCTTAATTACCAACCTCCTTGCTGTGTTCCTATTTTTAGCCAGGAGTGGTGTCTGAACAAAGTGGATTCGGGGGGATCAAGCTTTATATAGGCAAATCTGCCAGTGCGAGAGCTAGGCCTCAGTGGTGCGAGTCGTTAAGAAACATCCCAGATATCTCTTTTGTAAGGAAGTGGGTTCAATTCCCACCAGAGACCGATCTCTCTCGATCAATTTATATAGAGTGCTGTCAATCCGCACGGTCCCCACGAAATTATATGCTTCCTTCTTAACATAAATCTATAATGTCTAATCTTACCAAACCTTGGATGCACAACTATAACCTTCTTTCTTGATATGGTTTCCAACAGTAAGAAAAACTCATACGAAAAAAAGTTTGAGGTCGTGAAAATTCTCTATTATTTCTCATTTCTGTCTCTCCTGTTCTTCTTCTTCTCCTTCTTGCTATTTCTTTATTTATTTTTCATTTCACATTTCGGTATAATTTTCATCACGTTGATAGTTTTTTTTTATTTCCATTTCTCAAAACAAGTCGAGAATCTTATTCCTTTCCTATCATTGAGTTGTGTTGCTGTTCACATCACCGCTTGCATTATGTATGAATTTTTTGTACATAAATATAGAACCTATACATCTCTCATAGTTCATTCAATTCCGTTGCTTTATTTTTTCCTATGATTTTATAATTTCCGGTCCATAGCAGTGACATGTCATGATAGAGAGACATACAAGCATGAATACAGAATAAAAAGTGGGCAAATGAAAGAGGACATGGAAAATTGAAAAGGAAGAAGCGGAAAAAATTGACAGTCACACAACATAACATTTTGGCATTATAAATTGAATTGAGTATCAAAATTGTAATTTCAATGTTTTCAGCTGTATGTAACAATTGAAATGGAATGACTTGAATCAGGAAGTGCATTGAATTTGCGAAGCTATTGCTTAGTTTGCAATTTTCAATTAAATGTCAATTTACGATTGAATTGAAGTGGTTCATGATGAGTGCTTATGGGTCGACTAGCTTTAATGCCACAGTTTGAGGAAAGCCTTACTTAGAGTTATCAGAACAGATTGTAACAGTCGAATCTGAAAGTATGAGGGTAAGGATTATGTGGCTCGATGATTAGGTACGTAACTAGATCGGGTAGCTTCTTTCTCATACAAAACGCTTGTAAAATAACTGAGTTAACCTGAAAAGAATTATAAATTGAATTATATTTATTAAATGCTTCGCCTTTACTTCCATTCAAAAGTATCAATCATCAACAATGCATTCCACATTAATTTAATTGCATTTATTTTCAATGCACTTGAAACCAATTAAGTTTTTCAACAATACAGTAATAAATTAATTGGATAACAATTGAGTCACTTACGTTAAAAAAGAAGAGTAAATTCCACAAACAATAAACACAACAATTATGTTATCAATTGATGTCAATCGCGAAATGAAAAGATTTATTTTCAATTTAAAGCATAAATTTCTCTCAATAATAAATTTTTATTTAATTTTTTTTTTGAAAAAGAAGTATTGAATTAAATTGGTGTCGTTTTGCTTTTGATCAACTTAATAAAGTTAAGGGTTTAAAAACATATTGTTTATCTTGCATCAGTTCAGCAAAGGTCATTAAATTTTCGTCCAAATAGTCTTTTAAAATGTCTTCAGAAACTTTGTGATTCTTGTTTGGATGATGAGTTTCTGATTCTAAATAAATAACTCTTTTAATTTCACTTTGTACGATGGTTTTTGCACATTGTTCACATGGAAATGATGTCACATATAAAGTAGCTTTTCGGACAGAACTCGTTGAATGATGAATGGCGTTTTGAGCAGCACAACATCTGTATAAAATATTATTTTCACGAGCATTGTACTTTTCATTATTTTCACGCTTTCTTAAACGTGGATATCCATTATAACCATATCCAAGTATCCTGTATTCATCATCAACAATACAGGCACCTACTTTGTTGTTTTCAAATTTGCTTCGAGTAGAAGCAATTTCTGCTAATCGCATCGGAATTTCCTTTTTCGAAAAGTGTAATTCATTGTTCCAAACTTTTAGTTCCAACTTAGGTTTTTTGGCTATTGGATTAATTCTTACGTTCTGTTCGTTTTGACATTTTTGTACGTTCTGTTCGTTTTGACGTTTCATCTAGTTGGTTATAATTTAAAACAAAATTCAGTATCTAAATTTTAAAATTTAAATCATCAGATGACTCATACTATGGTCAATAATAATAATAATGTGCGAAGGGCCCAGCCTTTCAGCTGAAGGCACTGCGATTCAAATTAGAACAGAATCTATTGTACCATACCCTTTAGACCTACAGTTTATAGTGGGATCCGAATCACTTGCAAGCTCTGCACATTGCAAAGACACGAGTGCGTCATAAGACGTGATGTACTCTGCAATGCACCTAGCCACAATTCGTGTGCGCAAAATGCCATAAGGAAGTTACCAAATGCTAGTACATCCTTATATACCAAGCAAAGGACAACACACGAACCGAGCTTCTTAACTAGAACGGTGAAATGGAAAAAGAGCTTCGAAAATTAGACTTGACCAGGGATTGAACCCAGGACCTTTGGCATGGAAGTCCAACGCTTTACTATTTAGGCCACTGATGCCATTTCACCACTATGGTCAAACTATAAATAACTTAGACTTAGATTGTAACAAACAACATTTTTCACCTTAATAATTTCACTGTTTTCAATTGAAGTATGAATGATTTAATAAATCAATCTTCTAAATTTCAAACAGTTTTTGCATCAATTTATATACAAATGTTTGAGATATCTTATCAGAAAGCGATAAGAACCACGATGTTTGTGAGTATGATGCGAATGTGATTTAACCTTAATCATAGCTTCATAATTATCAGTTCCGGTTTTCTTTCCAGTGCATTTTTATTTACTTTTATCAAAATTCAGTAAAAATCAACTGCGAAGAAAGTAAAACGTCATAAGTGAAGATTTTAAAGGTTTATACTTTTAAATATTATGTCATTAGATGTGTGGCGACGTTGACGGTTTACAATTCTATAAATGTTCAATGATTCAACCAGTTTCGAACCTAAACTCCCAAAAAACCTCTTGATACAAAATCCACCGATCAAGTTCATATACCAAAATTCTTCCATGCCGTTAAGGATAATCACACAATAATAATATTGTCATTATTCTCGTACATTTTATGGATATACATGCTTTCAATGTCATTATTATGTTATTGTCTATCTAAATGTGCCTTTTAGATCTCCATAAAGGGAAGAGAAATTATTGTGGCTATGATGATGAAAACATCTACACACATATTCTCATAAAGCCGCTGAATGGTGAAAAAATGTAAAGCATCTATGTGGTAAATCATACGTACATCCTCACATCCGTACATAGAAAACCTCAAAATTTTCGGACGCATTGTGTAAAGGGTGTGAGGAGTCAAGTGCTGAAAATGGATTGTTATAAAGTCCTAGACAGTAAAAACTGTGAAGTAAAGTATGATTTGGTATTGTTGTAAGAATTGGTTGGAAGGAGCGCTGTAAAAAATATTTTTAAGGATTTGAACTAGGATTAGCTAATTAAGTCAGTTGATCAACTTTGGATTTAAACAAAAGTTGAAGATCCAAGGAATCAAAATTTTGTTAATGATTTCAAAATTCTGCTTCAGCCAATCCACAAATTCCAAATGGATCAGCATGAGAGCAGAAAGAAAAGGATATAAAGCAAATGGATATTTTTATAGCGCTATCATTCAAGCTGAATGCTTCTGAATTTTATGGCTTTGACTTTAGGTGAAATGACTGTTTTGTATAGACATGCATGCATGGAGTATATCCATAGAAGGTTTTTGAGCTTTTTATAAATATATTAGGTATCGTTCACTTATAACGTCCAAAATTAACGAACATTTTCATTGTTTTTTTGCCCCCCCCCCCCTTGGGATTTCTATTGTGATTCGTACTATCAGGAAATGTTCAAAATAGAAGTTTTTAACCTATCACCAGTATTGCTTCTCCTTCTTCTTGATACACCCCTGCAAATCCATCATTGTATTCACGGATAGTAAATTTTTATTGGCAGTAGTGAAGTAAACTCATCAGCCACTTCAATTATTATCATGAAAGTTCAACATTGTAATTTTTATTTTACACATCCCCACTGTTCCATTCAATCATATGCTCTCTCGCTCGTCGACTTGTAAAATATAAATTATTTCATTTTATTACTTCTTCTTCTTATTTTTTAAAGCCATTCCAATAGCTGTTATTACTTGCGGTAGCACATAATGTGTTGTTTATAAAGAAAAGAATTTATTCGCTCCTACATTTAAATTTTCTACAGCGTGAAGTTGTAATGACAGCAGGAACAAAAAAATTTTCGCACGCAAAAACATAAATTTTAGTGGCTTTTGGAAAAATGGAGGGAAGGGGTCGATTCGTATGTTACGAAATGAATAAAATTTGAAATTTTGATCACTATTGGCTTGTTGCCACTTTCCAATATTCTGCCTCATATGACCTAATTGACATCGGAGACCCCTCTTTTATTCACACGTCATCACATGTCCCTGCTGTTTAATAAATGACGTTACTACTGAAGAATCTTAAGTTAAGGCGTAACCAGAAGGGCCTTAGTCCTCAAACCGCCTGACGAACTCATGGATAAGCCTTATGTTAAGGTTTCGTTCCAAAATAACACATAACATTTGTACAAACCCCCATAAAAAGCAGAAAAAATTTACCTTCTTGTCGTTTTCATGAATTTTTTTAGCACGTCTACTTGCATGATATAAATCTACGCACATAAATACATGTGATGTAGTGACTTTATAGAGAATGTAAACACAATAGATTTATGTTATCACAAGCATGTATTTATAACTACGCCAGCTTATAGTTTATGTGGAGATGAAATTACGATAAAATCTTATAACTTTTTATTTGTGCTGATCATTATTGTAAAAATTTATGAAAACATGAAAATTCTTTACACTTAATATTCGCTGAATTTTATCTAAACGTTTTGGATCAATGACTTGAAAATGGTCGATTATTTAGTAAAGTTAATGATATAAGTGTTTTGCCGTATTCGAAATGCAGGCATGATTTTGGATCCATGGCTCATTAATTGATAATTCTAGAAATAATTAAGGGGCCGTTCACTTTTTTCACCCCCCTCTCCCCTTGTTACAATATGTTACACCCCCCCCCCCCCTGAACGTTCATAATTTATTTTATTTTTATAATTTTTCATAAATCATTAAAAAGGTGGAAAATTTAAAAAAATGTTTTTGGTGTGAATTTGCAATGAATTTGTAAACAAAGTTTTTTTTGTTAACTTTTTTAAAAGACAGACGACAGTTAGAACGTTACATACTTCTTAAATTTTTCAATATATGTGAACCACTCTTTTCCAACTTTCTATTTTAGAGCTTATAACCTTAGTGCCTCATCTATTTGTCTCATAATCGCAATAGTAAAACCAACTTAATAAGCAAAGCTTAAGGTCTGTCCTAAGGTCTGAGGACTTGACCGGCAATCGAGAGGTTTGAGGTTCAATTCTCGATTGCGATGAACATTTGGATGAACTTCTTTTTCTTATTGTTGAACTTTAAAGTTCTTTCATTTAGGTGTTATGTGTTCATTCGTTTAAAATAATAAAAAAAAACAATATCCATAAGAACATCTCATTCCTATTCAAATACCCAAATACTACGCACTCAATGAACTCCAATGAATGAATTTAATTGAAAGACATTTTCATCGTGTGATGCTTGATTAGTGCCAATATATATTTAATGCATATTCATTAGCTGATCGAACATTATAGATAGGAAGTAGAAACAATTTAAAGAATTTCTCAATTTACTGAATTCACACCGCTATCGTTTTCGTTATCCAATCAATCATCCAATTATCGACAAGGAGCTTTGAATGCATTAACATTTTAAATTGGAATTTTTTTTCATGTGCTTGCTCTTCTCTCCATCCACAATCCACCATAATTTTCATTTTTTTATACATTTTCCTGCTCATTCAATTTAAACAAAAAAAAAAATATTAATGAATGGCTGAATCGATGTAGATAGATGGAAATGGAGAATTAAATTATACATGTAAAAAGTTTGAATAAAAGTTTTTATTTCTTATCAAAGATCAGCGCATTGAGTTATGGCGAAATTTACAGAATTGAATCGAATCTCGATTAGATTAAGCGTAAAAAAGTTGTTCATCATCCCTGAATTGGAGATTAAAAAAAATTGCGAATTTAACATGACAGAAAGTCAATGAGAAACATTTAAGTATAATTTAGTCACTGGATGTATTAAAAAAGTGATCATTTGTCTTGTTGATGAATTTTTCGAAAATTATTCAGGCCGTGGCTTTTTATTAATTGATTTTGACCATGCATGTCTATTCAAGTCTGCTTTTTGGACATTATTGAAAATTTTGTAATGATTTTCTTTATTGCTTCTGACAGAGTTGGGGTTTTGCGAGATGAGCAGCGAAAAAGAAGCAAATGTGTAGTATAAAGAGTGCTAGTCGATCAACTCTATTCACAGGGACTTGATTCTAGCAAGATTGAGTCAGATTTAGATGCTTTTTCACTGATCTAGTCAAGGAAAGGTTTAGTAAAATCCAATTCGTAAAGGACACACAAATTGGATCTAGGAACTGCTAGGAACATTGAAAACTGTAACTGTCTTAATTGACAAAACAAATCAACTGGATGCCATACTTATTAATCTTTACGGCTAGTTTAGTTTAATCATATCAAGCACCAAAGCTATTAGAATTCCACCCCGTTAATTTTCCAGCAACAATACGATCATAATCGTCCTCATCATCATGGATTGTATGTGCATAGATGCCATACTCAACGCAATTATGTCTCACATAATATATTGTTAGGCTGAATGTTGAGGCTATTAAAGAAAACCATCAGTGTCTAACGCAAATAAATGGTTATGAGATATTTTTGAATAGAGATTTATGCTTCGTAAATATCTTCCTTCTTCTTTTTTTATGTATGTGTGTTGCCATGCCTTTTATTTGTCTTTTTTTTCCTCTTCAACTTGCTCAGCTTGAGTGCGCTCGTTTTACAATTTTTTATGTATGAATTGTGGTAAACAATGTGAAAATTACAATAAATTTTCCACTGCCACGGTTCTGTTGTTTTCTTTTTCACTTTTCCACTCATTTATATATTTTTGGGGTTTTGTTTATGTAGGTTTATGTATTCTATTATAGTGTTTAATGCTGTTCTTAGTGAATTATTCACTTAGGAATGCAATAAAGGGTCCTTCTGATTAGAATCTCCACACAAACGTTTTATTCTTCACTGCCATCTTCCATGCCTTGAATGCAATTGAATAAGTTGAAATATTTGTTGAGATTCTTTAATTTGCGCTAGAAACTAAGCCTGTGTAGAGACCATAATACTTAAGTGGCAACGATACTATTAACATTATTATCAAGTCTATAAAGTATTACATTATGGCTCAAGAAACTGAAAACTAATGACTGTATTAGTTCCTGTGCCCACATTAATATTCCTAATCTTACAAAACCATCAATTAAGTTTTAAAAAAATTGTATGACGGTTTAGACCAGTGTTGTCCAAACTGTGTGCCGCGGCACACTGGTTTGCTTTAAAATTTTTTTTTGGAAGTGACATGAGCCGCATGGTGTTTGCGACTTTGGTCATGGGTTACCCCTAAAGTGTACCATGGCTCAAAAAGTTTGGATAACACTAGTTTAAACAGACCTTCCCCGTTGGGTGTCAAAAATTTAAAATCGCATTAACCGAACAGCTCCATCCAAATTAATG